TGTGTGTGTGCGTGTGCGTGCGTGCGTGCGTGCGTGCGTGTGTGTGTGTGTGTGTGTGTGTGTGTGTGTGTGTGTGTGTGTGTGTGTGAGTGAGTGAGAGAGTGTGTCTGTCTGTCTGTTTAACAGACACCATACTTGTAAAAAGTAAGAGTATAAAAAATATCTTGTCTGTATAACAGACATACTTGCAGAAAGCAAGAATATGAAAAACATCTGCTGTATGTGTGTGTGTGTGTGTGTGCGTGTGTGAGTGAGTGTGTCTGTCTGTCTGTTTAACAGACATCATACTTGTAAAATATAATGAAATAATGGAATGTGGTATAATAGGGCTCCAGGCGAAGGTCCACATAAAAAACCTAACGCGCCATTGGTGATACCTCATGGGTGGTGTGGAAAATCGCACTATTTTTCTTAATTTCATATTTTAAATGTATAAAAAAATTAATTATATTTAATATATTATAAAACGTGTGTGTATATATATGTAACATATATATATATATATATATATATATATTTTTTTTTTGTTATAAATATATATAAATATGTATATACATAAACGTATAATATATTTATAATATATATATATATATATATATATATATATTATAATATATATATATAATATATTTATAATATATATATATATATATATATATATATATATATATATTATAAATATATTATACGTTTATGTATATACATATTTATATATATTTGTAACAAAAATAAAAAACATAAAGAAAAGCTGTGAAAGAGAAACATTGAAATATCGAAGAGCGAGGCTCAGCAGCGTTCCGCGTCGCGCGTCGTCCGTCGTTTTCGTTGCTTGCTTGGTAAGAAGGAGACAGAAAACTGTATTCTGTCTCTTCTTTTAGCCGAAGCTCACCGAAGCGCCGAGCTCACACGTACGCTTACGCATACATCTCCGTTACCCTCTCCACTACGCGTGACATGTTGCTTGCGGAGATAATCTTGCATCCCTGGATCACTTTGTCGCGGCCGCTCGACTGAGACAGTAAAAAGTAGTAGTCGGATTGTTTGTGCGCTTGTGACGAGACGAAACCCCGAGGACGAGGTCGAGGATCATCCCCGCAGACAGGAAGAGCTCCATCGGTGAGGTTGCCCACGAATTATTGTGTACCGCGTAATTAATTGTGTCCGCTCGCCGGCCGTTCTATCGCCGTCGCCATTGCGGCGTTTATCGCGACCGCTCGAGCCTTCTGCTGAGTCGGTCGATTTTGTGCATTTCGGGCGACAGGAGACAAGCGGTTGAGGAAGCGCGGACACTGGCGACGGAAGTGCATATCGTAGGGTAATTCTCGTCTCTCTCCGGGTGTCAGGGTGCGTAATACGCGTAGCATTCGACCGTTGGGTATCGACCGCGTGCGTCGTAAATCGCGAGCGATGCATAGTTCGCACGGGCTGTCGTTTGGTTGTCGAAGCCGCGTCTCGCACCTCTGAAATATGTCTCAGAGCGAGTCTGTGGAACGTAATTGGTCGTGATTAATGAGTCTTCGTGTAGTATCATCGTCGTTCGTGAATATTGCGTGAAACTGCGTATTATTGTCGCGTCCATTGTGTGCGTGCGAGTTGTTCGTCTCGAAAAAAGAAACTTAATTCCTCGAAATTGTCGCGGTGTGCGGGTATCGCACGATTCTAAGTATCGATATCTGAGGTCAGAAAATTCCTGGCAAATATTGCGGCTATCGAAGGAGGCACGGTGCGGGACTGTCGCCCGGCCTTCCTTATTACCTTGAGACCGAGAAGATAATTAATTCTCACGCTGTTGAAGGTATCGGGGGTGTGACACGACATTGTCGCATCGCCCCGATTGCCAGAAAAATTTAAGTTGCGAGCGTCGCAGAAAAAGGCGGAAAAATCTCCGACCGCCGCCGGCTATCGAACTTCGCCGGTATCGTCCGCCAATCGTATGCGAGATCTCTCCTCGCGAAACTAATATCTTTTCGCTTATTGCGTAACTAATCGACCGTCTTATTTCTGGGTTGTCGACTTCGAGTACGCTCGGAGGAAATTGCGAGATACGCAGTTAATTAGTAAGATCTCCGCGAGGCTGTCGAAGCTGCGAATGATAGGCAGGTACTATCGCTCTCTCTCTCTATCGCGTATGGTACGACCGTTAGCGAGAATTCGAATTACCAAAATTCCGTTATAGAAATTATTGTTCTCAGGAGCTTCGACTTTAGGGAGCCTCCGTAATAGACGCTCTTTGTTAGACCGACTTAGAATATCGCGCGTTTTTCTAGCGTTTCGAGAGTTATTGTCAGTTCATGGCTAGTACATTATTTCTGTTTCCATTCTGTATCGAATTTTATTTCTTTTCTGTTAATACTTTCTTAATCTCTTAATAAATCTGTTATTTTTTTTTATTAAATCTCGCGTTCTTTATTTGGCTGGCGATCATCTGTGACTTCTGTGTCCGTCTTTGTCTGTCAACTTAGTAAGCTCGCTCAATCAATTAACTTTTTCTTTCAAACCCCGCCCCTCTACCGTTAGGCGAGCTAGCCAGCCCGTGGCGAAGCGGGCTGTCGTATCCTTTCGCGCTTTTCGAAAAATTCGTGAAAACTGGTACGTGAGAGACCGTGCCTGGCGCCCATTTCCGAGGTATCGAGACGGCCTTCGCTCCGCCGCGGCTCGCGCACGGACACCCTCCATCCCTGTCCCGCCGATCGCGAGTACACCAAAACCCTTGTGTTTTTGACGGCGCTTCCGCTCCCCCGCGAGAATCAAAATTAGAATTGAAAAAGCGTCGCAATACATTTTTATGTGTGTGTGTGTGTACTTAAATTTAAGAATAAAAAGTAATGATAAAAAGAAAATAAAAAATATAAAAAAATATAAAAAATATGAAAAATATGAAATAAGAAATAATACAAAATATATGAGGAGAGGAATGTGCCGAGCTGAGAGAGGCCGCGCCTGTAACAGAAAAAAAGATATACATTTTATTAGTTTTTAATAAAACATTTAATAATTTATTTAATATAAAAATAGTACTTACATTAACCTGCTAGAGCATCAAGTCGTCTTGTGGCATCCACACGTTTCCACCTAGGATCCACTCTTCTTCGTGGATGATTTTCAGATAAGGCTCTTCCCCGAAGAGCCGCCGCAGATCGAAGACATCTTCGACCTGACGATGGCGACTGTCCGGAGTGTCGCCCCATATATCTAAAATATCTTCCCGTCGAACTCGACGTATCATTCGCACCCACTGTCTATGATATGTTTATGAAGCCAGGAAGTTCAACTTCTCTCTGAAACTAAATAATAAATAATTATTTTAATAATCTAATTAAAAAAAAAAAATCACACGTTCATGCAAACGCTACTTACCTCCAAACGCCAATCGAATGTAATTTTTAAAATTACACTAAAGAGTAACTTAATAAAGCTATTCTTCCACAATTTGAACCACGTAAGGTGTTGATACATTTTATTAAAAACTCTTTCACCGTTTTATCAAAAACTCTTTCACCGTTTTATGGTGTATAACGTGGAGCGATGAACTCACGTTCACAGTTCTGAACTATATGACGAGGTCTCGGTCCGAAATTGTAGCAGAGACACCATATGCAGCCATTTCCAAAACGCATCGTAAAACAAAAGAATTGAGTCTATAAACAACTGCACTATAAAAAAACAGCAGCTTTCTTTTGAAAGACAATGCTTGAAAGGCAACGCTTGAAAGACGCTTGAGAGAGGGGGCGATGGCGCGAGAACAACGCGTGCGAGGGAGACTTAAGATTAACGCATGAGAGAGAGAACGATACTTATAATTAGCGCAGGGGTGGGAACGCAACAAGAGGTCTGTAAATAAATACATTTTATCCAATTAAAAAAATATAAAATTTAATAAAATGTGTGTATTATACATTTTTGTGTGTGTGTATGTGTATTTAAAATTAAAATTCTAATAAAATTTTAAAATATAAAAATATAATATATTTGGGGGAGGGGGGGGTCGCCGGGTCTGGGGGATGGTTGCTCCTGTAACAGAAAAAAGATATTGAATTAATACAAGCGTAGTTAGAGAGAATTAAGATTTAAAAAATAGTACTTACAATGTTTTAATTTGTGCACATGGGGCACATGTCGCACGGCAGTATTTGATTCAAAGATCTTCTGCACTCTTTGCAAGACATATTGCTTAAATGTTGATAATATATGCAGCGATATAGCGGAATAGTTCCCATATAGCACTAGCTTCTAGAAATAAAAACGATAGTTCCAAAAAGCATTCCGCACAATATTTCAGTCCACATTCCACATAATAGAACGATATGCAACATATTTTTATTGTATCGTTCAATGTCAATATTCCCGGTAAGTCTAAATTTCGTTCTTTTATTTGTAATAGTTCATCACTGTCATCACTATTGACACTCTCGTAATCGCTGTCCGCCCAGGGTTCTACTTCGATATCGGCGTCATCTTCGTCTTCTTCGTTAACGTCCATTACATTATCATTTTCAATGATCCTCACATTATTATTTTCGATGATCATCACATCGTCATCATCGATGATCATAACATCATCATCGTCATCATTAATGATAATAATATTTTCTTCAGCCATTTTATATTAACCCTTTGAGTGCTATGGGCGCACATATGCGTCCAGCGAAAGCCATCAATGTAGACTATGGACGCAAATACGCGCTCAGCAGTTGTTATCAGTATAGACTATGGACGCAAATACGCGCTCAGCAGATGTTATCAGTATGGACGATAGACGCAAATACGCGCCTGGCAAAAATGATCAGGGAACAATGCAACACTCGCAAAAAAAGAACGTCGTCGCTTAGTAACGATGAGAAGTAAACTTTTGTTTTAAACGCAACTTCAGTTGGTTTTTGATAGCTCATTTCTTCTGTTACGCCGTACAGTTATAATTGTTGCATTGGCATATTGTCGTATTCAACTTATAGTGCACGTAATTTTCATTTTGATATTCGCCCCTGTTTCATACTTTAAAAATGAGTGCCAGTTTTAAAGAAATTATTACAAAAAACGACAGCGATGACGACCTGAATGAAACGGCAGATGATGACGATATACAGGTACCAAACGAAAATGTTCTACCGTCATCAGATTCGGAAGATACAGAAAATAGCCTAAATAATGGGATAGTTAGATGTAGAAGTAACAATAAACGACAAAGAATACTTAGCACATCTACCGATGAGGATGATTTAGATTCAAATTCGAATTTAGAAAGATCCGACTTGAATGAAGTGCTTTCAACGTTATCATGGTCGAAAAACGATTTCAAGCCCACACTACATGCATTTAACGACAACAATTCTGGAGTAAAAGGAAATTTAACTCCAGAAGCTACGCCTTTGGATGCTTTTCAATTCTTCTTTTCGGAAGGGTTAATTTCACATATTACTGAGGAGACGAACAATTATTATAAATTTGTTATTGAAAATACTACATTTAAAACGTATTCTCGTATCAATACTTGGAAAGATACATCAATATATGAGATGTACGGATTTTTAGCTATCACGATGTTAATGCCGCGGGTGAAGAAATTGACTCTAAAAGAGTATTGGTCGACCGATGACATGTTAAAAACTAATATTTTTCCAAGAACTATGGCGCGAGACAGATATATGATATTATTGCAAATGTTGCATTTTAATGATAACAATGTACAAAGTGATGATCCATTGATAAAAATACGACCTATATTTGATACTCTGAAGAACTCTTTCTCACAGTCATTTTATCCGTACAAAGATTTGTGCATTGACGAAAGCCTTATGTTGTTCAAAGGCCGGTTACTTTAAACAATTTATACCATCTAAAAGAAGTAGATTTGGTATAAAGTCATTTATCCTGTGCGACTGCACCACAAACTATATATTAGATTATATAGTATATACCGGAAAAAATACAGATATTGTACATAATTCTACAATCATTGGGAAATCGGCATATATTATTATGACTCTTTTACGTCCATACCTTGAAAAGGGCCATACATTGATAACTGATAATTGGTACACAAGCCCGCATTTGTATACTGTACTTCATAAACATAAAACTAATGCGTTTGGGACAGTACGTAAAAACAGAAAAGATATGCCCCATATCGATGGAAAATTGACAAAAAGGCAATTTGACTACAGATGTACAAATAACTTATTGGCATTGAAATGGCGAGATAGAAAAGATGTATGGATGTTATCAAGTGCTCACGAACCGAAAATGATTGAATCTGATCGAAGAAATTATCTTACAGGATCGCCCAAGTTGAAACCAGAATGTGTTGTAGATTATAACATGAAAATGGGCTCTGTGGACCGCGTTGACATGGTTCTAAGTACAATAAATTCATGCAGAAAATGTTTAAAGTGGTATAAAAAGTATTTTTTCCATTTAGTAGACATTTCAATATATAACTCGTATGTCCTGTATCAACGTGTGACTGGTAAGAAATTAAAATATAACGATTTTCATCTGTCACTAGTCAAACAAATTCTGCAAAAATACCCTCAAAATAGAAAACAAGCGGGCGGTGGCAAAAGAAGCGTAGAAAACCTACCATTTCGTTTGACTGAGAGACATTTCCCTTCAAAAACTTTAAATGCAGAGAGAAAATCGGCAAGAAGAAAATGTGTTGTCTGTAAAAGACAGCAAAGAAGGAAGGATACACCATATCAATGCAAAAAATGCGACGTCGGATTATGTGTTGATCCTTGTTTTGAGATTTATCATACGCAAATGAATTATTAATTTTTTCTATGAATTATTAGTTTTTTCTTTAAATATCTATGTATTAAATGTTATTTTCTTAAAATATATATATTTGAAGCCTTTCCATGATTATATAATCCTTCTTATGATTTGTTTAATTTTCTGATTATGAATATCCAAATAAATTATAATCATTAAATTACTGGGATTTCAAATTCTACTAGGTGACAAAACAGTATATATTGAAAATAAAAATGTTTTCATTTAATGTGGAATAGACAATGGAATAGTAATTGGATTGTATACTATATTATAATGTGTCATACACCGTCAACGAGATCCATACTGCGCGAAAAAATATTCAGTCCCCGGCGATCATCAGCGTCAGCCGCGCGCCGTCCGTACGAGCTGCATAGGCCACGAGTATTCAGCACTCAAAGGGTTAAAATACACAAGAACGATGAAAAAAATATTCACTTCTTCACTTTCGATTTCTTCACTTTCGATTTCTCGACTCGCGCACTGCCAAACTCTTTCTGACAAGGCAGCGAGATCTCGAAACGAGATCGTATAATAGAGATGTCACATTATCGTCATATCGTCGTAAATGCCTCGTAAAAAGCACGCGCGGTCCCATACATTTATCGAAAGTATAAGCAATATTGTGTCACATGCCCGGTTGATAAACAATATAAACAAATAGTACCTCAGAATCGTCTTTCACGATTTTTTCTCGGAAGAATTTTTAACGTATCAGCGCCGATGTTTGGCTGCTTTGTACCCTTGCTTCCACCGCTCGTATATCAGCGCTTTCGCGGTACATCCCTCACCCCCGATATAAATAATTCTAGATTTTTTCGTTCGACGTATCCTTATCTCTCTCATTGAATTACACAGCACGTAAATTTATAAACAATATAAACAAACGGCACCTCCTAGAATCGTCTTTCATGATTTTTTTTATCGGAAGAATTTTTAACATATCAGCGCCGATGTTTGGCTGCTTTGTTTTCTCCTTCATATAAGAAGGATTGAAGCGCATCAAATCATCATAGTATGTGATTTGAACACCCATCGACGCGTCGGCAGTAAAAAAAAGTATAGCGGTGTTCCGTTAGAAAGATTTTTGCGCCTATTTCACGTTCAAGATAGCGAACGGTATTGTTTATCGCGTGCAAAAGTCATAATCGTAGAAAACTGTGACATAGTGTTTTAAAAGTGTGAGTGTGAAAAAGACAGGATAATGGAAAACATCGAGCAGACCGAACGCGATCTGGTGGAGGGATCTCACCAAATTGCCATCCCGAGTATTTCGCGTGGCTGCAGCGTTGCGAGGAATTGATCAAAGAGCTCGAAGAACGCAGTCGTGTCAAGCGTCCGCGGCTCTCGATCGGAAATAGACAATCTCTGGTGACTAAAATCGCGCGACTAGAAAGTGCGAAGACTCGATTGCAAAGACGATTTATTCCCAGTGGTGGTGATTACAGCGGTGACAATAACGCGGAAAGACTCGTTTGGCGAGAGATCGATACCGCGTTCGACAGCCGTATTCTGACCAGTGCCGTGATTAACGCAAACTATATCGAACCTCGTCAATTTCTCGAGGATGCCGAAGACATCGTGCTCGAGCAAGTGCAAGACGTTATAAAAAAACACAACAGTGTAAAAGTAAATACTATATTCAACGGTGAATTTGTGTCGGGTGATAAGCGCGCGAATAAAAGTATAAATACGAGAAACTGTGAACTCTTTCGCACATCGGATTTACGCGAGTGGTTCGAGCGCCGCGTTATCGAGCCCACTTTAGCGTCTCTGGAAGAGTTTCAGGAACGCGATAGTGGCTGGGATTGTCGCGAATACAGAATTTGACTGTTAATGTAAATAAATATAATCCAATGCGCGCGGGATGTCACATTAAATTGTCGCGGGAGATTATGATGAAAAGAGCGATGGTTAACGTACAGTCTAAAGACAATGCGTGTTTCGCGTGGGCAGTGGTCGCCGCTCTACATCCCGCAGAAAGAAAGGTGTAACAAGAATCATCGTACCCGCCTTACGCGACAGTGCTGAATCTCCGGGACATTGAGTTTCCAGTAACTTTAAATCAAATTAAAAAGTTTGAACTCGCAAACAGTATCTCGATCAACGTGTACGGCATCGAAGACAAGAACAGTATCGTCCCGATACGTCTTTCGGAGCAGAAGCGAGATAAGCATGTGAATTTGCTATACGTGGAAGACGGCAACAGCGTCGGACATTTCGCGTGGATAAAAAATTTATCCAGGCTCGTGAGCTCGTAACTGAGCAAACACAAGAATCACAAATATATCTGCGATCGGTATGTATATATTAATATAAAATAATTATATTAAATAATTTATATAAAAATTGTTCTAATTTTAATTAAAAAATTTTTCTTTTACAGATGCCTGCATTATTTTAGTTCAGATGACAAGTTGCAGGCGGATACGGTCGACTGCGGGGAGATGAATGACTGCGCTATCCGGTTGCCGAGCGACAAGGACAAATGGCTCGAATTCAACAATTACAACAGGAAAGAGCGGCTTCCATTCGTCGTGTACACCGACCTGGAATGCGTTTTGGCCAAAACGGGGGAAAAACAACAAAAATTGCATCAACATCACTAAGTATTTAGCATTGTTCGTACGACGAATCTTTATCGGCGTATCATTCGCGTCGTAGCGCCGATTGTATAGCATGGTTCGTCGAAGATCTTAAAAATTTAGCGATTCGCGTTAAAAATATTTTAACGACCAATGTCCCTATGGTAAATTTAACATCGGAAGAGTGTGAAAAATTTTACAACGCCACTCAATGTCACATATGCGAAAAACCGTTCGCGGAAGACGATACACGCGTTCGCGATCATTGTCATTTGACCGGGCGGTACAGAGGCCCCGCGCATTCAAATTGTAATTTAAATTACAAAGAATCTTTTTGTATTCCGATAGTTTTCCACAATTTATCCGGTTACGATTCGCATTTTATTATCGAGGAAAGCCTCAGCATTTGAAGGAAGAGTCGAGTTACTTCCGATAACGAAAGAGAAATATATTTCTTTTACAAAAAATGTCAACCTTAAGGAAGGCGATTGGAAAAATCATGTAAAATTACGCTTCATCGATTCGTACAAATTTCTTACATCGAGTATCGACAAATTGGCATCTTATCTAGACAGAGATAAGCTTAAAATTTTAAAATCGAAATTTGAAAATTTATCCGCGGAAAATTTCAGTTTATTAACACGGAAAGGTGTCTTTCCGTACGAATACGTCGACTCGGTAGATAGGTTGCGAGATACGCGTTTACCACCGCGCGAATCGTTTTACAATTCCTTGACCGGTGAAACTATATCCGAGAGCGATTACGCGCACGCCGAGAATATCTGAACGCGATTCTCCATTCGAACGCTGGGCGAATATAGCGACATGTATCTCAAAATCGACGTATTGTTATTAGCAGATATTTTCGAAAATTTTCGCGATAGTTGCATCAAAAGTTACTTTACGGACTCGACCCCGCGTATTATTATACTCTCCCCGGATACACGTGGGACGCCATGTTAAAACATACAAAGATCACGTTCGAGTTGCTTACAGATATCGACATGGTCATGTTTATAGAACGCGGTATACGCGGTGGTCTGAGCCAATGTTCCAACAGATACACGCGCGCTAATAACAAGTACATGCGACAATCATACGATCCATCGAAACCATCGTCGTACTTGATGTATTTTGACGTTAATAATTTATACGGATGGGCAATGTGTCAACAGTTGCTTTACGCCGATTTTCGATGGGTCGACGACGCGTCGAATTTTAACGTATCATCTATAGCGTTAGATTCGCCTACGGGATATATCCTCGAAGTCGATCTCGAATATCCGCAACATCTTCACGATACGCACACCGACCTACCGTTTTGCCCGACGCGCGACAATCCGCCCGGTAAGCGGGAATTCAAACTGCTTGCAACGTTATACGATAAGAAGCGTTACGTGATACACTACCGTAACCTACAGCAGTGTACGCGTCACGGTCTTCGTGTGACAAAAATACATAGAATT